TGGAAAATTTAAGGGGTAGTTATATAATAATTTTGGACGATCTCGGGCGGTCGGATACTTATGACCGCTACTGTATGTTGATAGTAGGTAAAGTTATTATATTACAATATATTTCTAAAATATTTAATTAATTTTTTTCATCCTTCGAAAAAGAGATGTATAGCAAGCTAGTAAGCAAATTAAAAATAAAAGGTAAATAGATATATCTGAAAAGTGTAGTCTTCTTTGTATTCTATTATATAAATATTAAAAGAAGATTACACTTTTCTAGATATATATTCAGGTATGGTATAGCCTTTGTATAAGACTTATCTTTCCTAGATATATACCCAGATATGATATAAAGGCTTCTTTAGAAATATTATATAAAATTATAAAAGAAGATTACCCTAACACTAGTATATATCTAGATATAGCATAAAGGCTACATCTCAATGGTATGTATTTGAGCATATGTGGTATATATGTATCCAGAGGATAAGTCTTCTGCGTAATTATTAAATAAAATATTGGCAGAAGACTTATACTTTTCTATATATGTACTTGGGTATGGTATAAATAGGCTGATCATAATAATATATATCGCATCTCTAACTTCAGATGTAAAATTAGCATACATATATTAGCAACAAATAGGCAATTGTAAGGTGCATATTTCTGGCAAACAAATGGGTTAGATATAATAATACCTATCACACCTCTGAGAAGCATAATACCTTAGCCAGATCCTTGAACATAATAACTCGACATCTAAGCTAATATACAAGTGATCTGAAATTGGCGAACTAATAGAAACTTTTTAGCTTCTTATCAGTTTTCTAATAGTTTTATGATAGTTTTATGATACTACTATGATACTATTAAGTTACTATTATAGCGCCAAACTGGATCCTCAAATTACATACCCAAAAGATCAGTCAAAATTAATCGCAAATATACTATGCTACCTAATACAATATTTTTTACTACATTTTGGCATTTTAAAAGACAATTAAATAGGTGCAAATTCTTAATATAGAACTAGCATCCAAACCAGCTAGCCTAATATTGGCAACCAAGAAGAATAGCATGGCACTATGTATCCAGCCGGTAATCAAAAGGCTTAAAAATGGAAAACAAACTACCACCTACTTAATAACCAATTAGCCGTAAAACCTCACCAACATAAATTATACCAGAAAGTATTTATTAATATACAGCACATAATAAAAAAAGGTATATTCAGATTATTTAGTCATAGTTATAATTAGATTATTTAATTACATGATGATTACAAATAATAAATAGGAAACGGAAAAAGAAATTCGATTTCAAAGGCAAGAAATATAATAAGAAAAATAGGTAGGTGTAAAAAATCATCATAATTAGGTTATTTAATTAGATTAATTAATCATAATTAGATTATTAACTTTAGATTATTTAGTTATATTTAGATTATTCAACCATATTTAGATTATTTAGTTATACCTAGATTATTTAGTTATATTTAGATTATTTAACTATATTTAGATTATTTAGTCATATTTAGATTATTTAATTATATCTAGATTATTTTATTACTAAATAACCTAATCTAAATCGTTTATAACTAAATAATATAATTATATTATTTAGTCATAAATGGCTCAAGGTATAAAATATCCATAACATGTCATATGAAATTACTCATTATTCAAGCATTTTTTTATGAGTTTTAGTCGTCTAATTGTATTTCTGTTCAAGAAATCAAATCAAGTGATTCAAATGGATCCTTTTAACCTTCAGGTCAGATACTTTTATAAGGATTACATTTCATAAAATTAGTCAATCTTTGATTCATTTAACGTAGTTAAGAAAATTATTAATAGGACGGACTCACATACCACTATTTTCCAATACAGTTTCAGATTTAGAGATATAATTTAACATAATATCATGTAACTTTTCCAAAACGTGATACAAATCACATACTTCAATCCTGAGTGCATCATTGAAAATTTCTTTGTCGTTAAAAAGGACATCTTGATTAATGAATAAGAACTCAACTCAACAAATGTTGTGTAAAAATCCTTGGAGTTCTGCAAGTAAATAACCTTAAAGGGAATGATTTTGCTTTTCTGGATGCTTTCAATCTTTTCTTTCGTAATTTCTTTCCAGTTTGTGAATTGTATTATTCATCAAAGCTTGGCAATTCCAGTTCACCTTTAAGACATCATTGAGAGTAACATTGGTGACTTCTTTGTCATCTTCTAATATATCAGTGTATAGAAATATTAGCCTAATAGCAAATTGTTGATGCTTCATCATAATTGATTGTAAATATATTAATAAATATATTATTACACTAACTTTATGTAAAATTGAATTTTAAATTTGTTCTTAGAGAAAAATTGAAATATTAAATATGAGAAAAGAATACATTTTATTATATATATACAAATTTTAATAAAAAAAAAATTAATAAATAAATATGGTAAGATTTTCAAAAATTAAGACATTATTCCATTTTAATCTAAAACTAACTTCAAAAAATTTAATTATCTGTAGAAATTTTATACCAAGATTCTTGGCTAAAATTTATTCTTTAAATCTCTTTTTTCAGATCCCTTTCCTTCAAAAAATTTCCTTTTTATCTTTTAAAAAAAAAAGTTTAGTCTTTAAAGAGAGTTTATTAAAAATGAGATAATGAATCGATTTTAGCATTGTAGTTTAAACTAATATTGTAATGTCCAAAAGATTGGACACATTGAATTAAAAATAAATGACATTTAAATCATTAGCAAAATAAAAAAAAATATTAAATCCCTCAATGTGAATTACATATTACATCACAAAAGATTATATTATAATAACAAGGAAATGTGATGAAAATTTTATAAACCAAATGTTTTTTCTAAGCAAGTTACTATTTGAAAATAATTGATGTTCTCATAATTTAAAATTAAAAGATGAGTTTAATATTAAAGTTTAGAATCAGATTTATCAATCTGGTTTAAATTCAGTTTACAGTTAATTTCATAAGTCACAGGATAGCCGATAATAACTGAGACTTTTCTGAGAATATTTATAAGACTTACCACAGTTTTATATAGGTAAAAAAATTATGTCACTATATTCAGAATAATGATTTGAATATAATAATAATGTTTTTTCTTCAAAAAATTATATACTGAGTTTTACTGAATTTTTTTTATCAATCTGCAAAATGATTGTCTGTCCTGTGACTTTAAAATTAGCTGTAAAACTGATTCTTTGCTAATCTGATCATAAATCTGCAAACCAATTTGCTGTTAAATCCAATTTGGATATAATTTATTTTGATAAAAAAGTAAATGATCATTAACTGATATCATATAATTATAAATATGAAAAAAAACAAAAGCACTTTTTTAATCTTCCGCACATCATATAAATTTTACCTCTTAAAAATTTCAAAAATTATAATGATGTTATTTCTGGCCCTTTATAGACATGTAATTTTCTTAATAAAAATGTACATGTAAACAGTTATGGTTATTTATTTTGAGTTTTGACAAAATAATTCTTTTTCACATTTATTAAAATAATTATATTTTACATAATATCGTTTCGTAGAAAAAAGTAAAATTTTCAAACAATCTATCAACAAAGATCTCCTTTATTGTGGACGAAAGTTGTTTTAGTATCATTAATTTTGAATGACAAGTAACGTAAAGTATCGAGCTATTATTTTAGGTGAGTATTATTTGAATTTATCACTTGTCTGTTTGGGGTCTATGGATACACAGTAAATACACTGACATGTATTAAGTTTCTTAGTGTCTTGAGAGCTACGGCATTTACATATAAAGTTTGGATATGAAGGGTTCGTTGAAAAAAAATTGGTTAGAATGAATCGCACTATGGTTAAATTTACGATATGAATTGTACTGCAGTATGATTACCAGAATTTTAACAATTTATATTTCTAAGTAATTGTTTTGATTCAACAGGTATATTTAATTTAAATTAAAAGAAAAGTATTGCTACATAAAAAATTAAAAAAAATACAAAACAATAATTTATTTTATATGATGTAATGCATTTGTCCATATTAATTTAATTTTTATTTTAATTTTTTTTTTATTGAAATCATTAATGATCAATTGTTTTAATCAGTTATAATTTTAATTTTTAAAACATTACAAATTTAATAATAATTCACTACTATGTTAACGTCAAGGTCTGTGACTAGTATATAAAATAACGGCAGACTCAAATTTCGTAAAAGTAACATATAAAAAATATAAAATGCAATATTAGAAAAATTATTAAGTTAATAAATAACTTTTGTAATAATAATTTTTTTTAAAAAAAAAATGGTTATAGGTAATTTTATTTTCTATTTATTAAAAATTAAAAATAATATGAATTTTTAATAATAAGTTATGAATAATATGAATAATTTATAAATTGATTTTTTTAAATTGATTTTGTATTAAATTATAAATTTTTAACATAAACAAAAAAAATAATATTCCATAAGATGCAAAATAAATAGAAGAAAAATAAAATTTATTTGTTTAATAATTCTGGTTCTAGTCAAAAAAAATTTTTGAATTTAAATTTAAATTGTATTAAATTGTATTATATTAAATATATTAAATCAGATTGATGCATATAGTATATAAAAAATTAATTACGTGATATGACGCGTAAATAGATTCTCAATATGACGTAATTCAAATTCATAAATTATTTGTGATTCTGGTCTAACACCTTCTTTGATTTTTCTTGTTTTTGTTAAATTATTGATTATTTTTCAATAGAGCTAATGATGAAAAGGCCAAAATATGAGTTAGCTTGAATCCAATGAAGGGAAAAGTCAAACCTTAAGGATATGTCCTTGATAACTTGCGTTAGGGAAACTTTGAAGTGAAATGACCATAGTGACTTTTTTTTTTAAATTCCTTCGCGATTTTTAATTTAGTTTTAGGGTATTTATTTTTTACAGCTTTAAATTTTTGGTGATATCAACTTGTGCTATTTAGTTTAACGATCAGGTTTATAATATTTAGGACATATTGATTGTAACTGTTAAGTTTATCGTGGCCTTTCTCAATAAGCCCACCTTTAAGTTAATTTAAAAAAATTTTTTTTTCCTCTAAATAATAATAATTAATTAAAATTTTTTCTTTTTTTTTTTTTTTTAATGAATTATTGCATATTCTCTTGCGAATATTACCATATTTGTAGCTTATTTAGGTGAATTTAGACTAGATAAAATTAGTGTGATAAAATAATTTAAATCAGAAGATGGTATCTGGAAATTAAAGTAAGTTGTGATCTAACATCTTTTGTGATTTAATTGATTGCCTTCGAATTTAATAACCTAAACTTCTCATAATTTTATTAAGTCACCTACTGTTTTTTTAAAATTACCCCAAAATTGCTTTAATAAAATTTAAATCTGCTTTAGATTTGTTTGAAAACACGATCACGATCAATTACAGGTCTTTATCATAAAGCCATGAATAAGCAGACCAATTGAAGAAAGTTTTAAATTTACCGTTGTGTATTCAATTTACGAGAGAATTAACAGTTTTAATAGACCTGTTTGGTCGTATACAAATTTTGGATGCAAAGGGACAAGGGAGAATAAAATGAGAAAATGATGACAATTTTGGATTATTTTAGTTAATTGTCCGAAGCGTAAGCGTAAGACACTTTCGGTTAGAGCTGAAACTTCTTATGAAATGGCTAAAGACAAATACCAGAAATATAAGTAATTTATTTGATACGATTAAACATCAAAACCAAACTCAAAATTACTATAAAAGTTGGCAAACACTTTCTTGGTTTAGACAATTTGAAGTTAAATACGCTATTGAAGCTGTTGTTAGTGCTGCGATCTTGGAAATTCCTGCATATATTGAGGAGACAAGAGACATATATAGAGAATATCGTAGTTTGTCGGCTTGAATTTCTGTGAACACTTTTTCCCTTTTTAATTTTACTTGATATTATTAGACGATAATTACAATGGTCGGGAAGACAAATCTTATAGGAATATACCGTGCAGGTGGAACATTATTTGGATCGTGTTTTTTGTTTAGTTTTCGATTCAATTGTATTTATGTTTAAATTTTATTTGTTTTATTTAATTAATTCTTAATATAATTTTTTGTTAAATAATTAATTTTTAATATACAGTAACTTTAACCTAACGTTAATTTTTGTTTAAATTATTTTTTGATTTAATTTTCAGTTTTTTAATTTATTTTATTATTATTATTTATTTTTAATTTTTTTATTGTTAATTCTTTTATACAGAACATTCTCTTCGGATCGGATTTTTAAGGTAAGTTTTCTTTTTGGAGGTTTCTTTTGAGTTTTTTCTTTTTACTTACTAATATTTTTAGGAGCGTTACTTTCATTCTCATCTTCTTTCGAAATTCTTGGGAAGGTTTGTCTTTTTACTAACTTTTTTCTTCCTTTTTTAAGGGCGGATCTTTCGTTCTCTTGGATAGGATCTTTGGATTCTTCAGAGTATTTTTTTTTTTACAAACTTTTTTATCAGAAGCAGATCTTTCATTTTCTTTGGATAAATAAATCCTCTTTCAGAAGGATATTTTAGGAGGGGTGTATTCTTTTCTTCTTTTTTTAGGCCATGATTCCCCGAATTTATAATCTTTGTCGGAATTACTAAAACCCCTGGAAATGAAACATACCGTAATCAATTTTCCTTCAACTTTGCCACAATTGATCATACCTATACGTAACAACCAATATACTGTATAAACATAATTTTTATTTAAAAAGCTTTATAGTTTATGACACCATCTTAGCATTTGACATTCCCGTATGTAATATAATATATTCAGGTTAAGAAAATAACACAAGAAAGATAATATTTGCATACTGTGATTTGATGCGTAACCACTAAAAATTTTTTGTACAGGAAAATGGTTCGGGCTTGCATCGGGATTCATTATGATTCATCCTTCAGTTTTGTGACCGCGGGTTGTTAGGTTAGATTTTTTTAATTCTTCCTTTTTTGATTACTTATTATTATTTTTTTTTTTTTTTTAGGTTTGTTCTCCGGTTTCACGATAGAGATCGGTGGATTGGTAGGTTGCACTTTTCCAATGACTTTTTTTTTTCTTTGTTTTTAGTTTAAGATTAATAAATTACCAGCATATTACAATTAATTCACAGGATGCTTTTGTAATTAGATCCCGGCACAGCGCGGCGGTTTTTGCTAGTTAATAAAATAAATAAATTTAAAGTTTCAAATTAGAATTCAATCCATTAAGTAATACTATATACAAAAAAAGCTAATATTGTTTAATTATTTATTCATTAATTAATAAGTCCTAATCAACAATATCATTCATATTAACATCCAAGATGGATATCTCACGAACACTCATGCTTTTCCATCCATGTTTGTAATGGCATTTAGTATTGTTTTCTGGGTAACCAAATGAACAAATTCCAAGGATGTCCTCTGCAAAGTAACCTTCTTTGAATTACCTACTTTCATTTTCGAAAATTGAATGGCCACAACGTTATGACTTCGAAAGGTCCATTTTTTCTGTCGCGATCTGTTAGTTTTGGTGTGAAGGCGACGTCTGGCGCTATAATTGTTTTCTGTACCCAACATTCAATCAAAGCCTTCTTGTGACAAAGTAACGCCTTCATTTTGCAAGCTTCAATATTCCAGTTAGTTATCTAGCTGATTTTTGATGTGATTAATTTTCCGTTATCAGATTCGAAAAGTTAATTGGATTTCTTTTTATTTCTGAAAAGGGAGACTTTTGTTGTTTAACTATGTATTGATAAAAAAAACTTAATTTTAAGACGAAATTCGTGATATACTGTATTAAAAAAGAAATATAATTTTGATATATTATGCCTTAAATTTATAAAATAATAAAATTTGAACAACAACCTTTTGATTAAATTTTAAAGTGAGACCTTTCAATCCTGGAAGCATTTCTTCTTATCTTTATTGCTTCATATTGAGATGTTCTTATGGTTAGCTTCTAAAGTTGTGTGACATTCTCGCGTAAATTTTTCCTTTGAGAAAATTATTAATTTATGAACAAATAATAGTAGGAAAATCATTGAAATGTTATTAAGTAGGAGAAAATTTTCGTAACAACTTAGACAAGAGTTGCATATTCGGTCATTACAAAGCGTTAATCTAATTATTTATTAAATACAAATAATGTTATAATATATATTTTGCAATGTTTTGTATTTTTCAAAAAAACATTATATAAATAAATTTTACTGCGGCTAATATTATTAACATACTATAATAAAGGAGGATCGGTATTATAAAAAAAAATTTAGAAGTGATTTTATTAGTGTAAACCGATTTCTTGGCCTTTGAGCGACAAAAAAAATTTCTTTTTCTCAAATTTATTTAAGTATTCTTTTTTTTTTGTTTAAAAAAAAGATTTGGATCTGTCGTGGCGGCAAAGTCAGGTGCATGATGAAATTGTTTTTTATTTTTTTTTCTAATATTATGTATTGTCTATTCCTATTGTGATTATTTATTTAATTAATAATAAATTAAATTAACTAATTCATAATTATTTATTAATAATTTTATTTGATTTATAATTTTATTGGTTAGGCCATATAACTTTGATTTTTCGGTTCATGTCACCTGGTCAGGTCAATTTTTCAAATTTTACAAAAAAAGTTTATATATAAAAAGTTTATCATGTGACTATAAATTGTAATTTTAATGGTAGATTAAATCTTTATTGTATTATCGTTATGTATTATTCCTTTCTTACAACTCATTAGTTTGGTATTTTAACAGAGTTTAGATGATTTTGAAATGAAATGTGATTGTTGTATAATTTGGTCAGAAAAGAAAATTTTAAATTTTTAGATAAATTTTAAAATTGACCCAGTTTTTTTTTTGTTTATATATAAGTATTACATAACTAAAGATGAATCTATATAAATCTTTATTTTATCACTTTCTTTTTAAACAAATTCTGATATGTCAATTTTATTATGTAAGGTCACATGATAAAAATTTTACTATAAATAAAAATTCTGAATTTTCGTAAAACTGATATAGTTGAGTCAAAGAATCTGAAAATTTACTTTACACAGCCTTGTTTTCTTAAAGTTTGATCCAATCAGATAGCACAATATTTATATATAAACTTTTTTTATTAATAAAAAATAATCATTAATAAACTCCAGGTCTCCAGTAAATTATAAAATTTTAATATTACGTGAACTGAAAAATTGAAGTTGTATAATCTTAAATTGGTAGATTCATTATTTTAGTTTCTCATAGAATACAGTAAGATGTATAACTTTTTTATTATTTTACCTAATTTTTTTGATTATTAATCAAAATCTAATAGTTTATTTTTTATTTTGATTAGGACTGATTCTGCTACTTCAGACAAACATAATTATAGCATCTTTTAACTCATCACAGTAATGCAGTCAAATGCGTGATAAATATTTCTTTTTTATTATTTCTATTATTTATTACTAATAATTCTACCTGATGATGCTTCAGATTTCAAGGATAATAAGTCTCTAGTATATTAAAAATTGTGATTATTATTAGTAATAATTAATTAAAAATAAAAATAAATAAAATTAAACAAAAAAATTAATTAAAAGGAAATAAATTAAAAAAAAGTAAAAAAAATGAAATTAAAATAATAATAAAAAAAGAATGGGAGAAAGATGAATAAAAAAGATAAAAAAATTAAATAATTAAAATAAAAAAATAAAAAAAATTTTGAGAGTAGGTAAACAAAATAAAAATTTAATAAAAGATATTAAAAAATTAAAAATAAATAATAAAAAGATCACAGAAAGAGATAAAAAAAAATATAATAAAACTTAAAAGAAAGAATTAAAAAGATTATAAGGGTATAAAAAAATTGTGGAGAAATAAAAAAATTAAAAAATAAAAATTAAAAAAAGAAATTAAAAAGATTGCAGGAGGTAAAAAAATATAATAAAAAAAATTTAAAAAATTAAAAAAGAAATTAAAAAAATGGAAGGGTAAAAAATTTAATAAAAATAATTAAAAATAAAAAAGATCGTAAGAGGATAAAAAATTAAAAACAAAATATAAAGAAGGAATTAAAAAGATTACAAAGTAATAAAAAATATAATAAAAAAAATTAAAAATAAAATTAAAAAAAAATAAAAAGCTTAAGGAGAAGAGAGGAAGAAAGAAAGAAAGAGGAGAAAGAATAATAAAAATGAAAAAAACTATAAAAATAATAAAAAAATACATATCTTAATAATCAATTTTTGTTGATTTTGTATATTAAGAACATAAACGTTGTAATGATGATTACATAGCTTTAATAAAATCTTAAAAGGATAAATAAAACTAAAACAATTACTCAAAAAATTATGAGTAAGGATTCACAGTAATGTCAAAGATTATTCTTAATATAAAAATATGTAAAATAAACACAAAATAAACATAAAGATAACTTAAAGATATTTTAAAAATTACACTTCAGAAACTCTAAATCAATACAGTGAATCAATATAATATCATACAATAAGTTTACTAACAATAATAAGAATACAAAAAGAATAAAAATAATTTATAACAGGTTTAAAAGGTTTACAAAGGATAAGTTTTATACTTAGTTAATTATACTTCTTTATTAATATAATAAATTCTGTATCTAAAAGATTAACATCTCATTAGTTACCTTTATCAGAAAGATAATAAGACTTAATAAAAATGCAAAGATATTTATATATGTTGAATAATTAATAAAATAAACTAAACTAAATATATTGAAGAAAATAAAATTGACTGATCTGTAGGAAATAAAGTTATTATGTTAGTAAAATTATCAGATTTACAGATAACTAAATGGATATCTATGATCTACGTAATTATCAAGGATAATAAAATTGATATTTAGGGATTTACATAATGATCAATGGTAATAAAATAGACAAAATAATCTTCCTAAATGATCTACATGACAATAAAATTGACTTTTTAATCTACTAATTAAATCTATTTAAAATTTTACCTGTCACAATATAATATTTTGAATGAACCTTTCAACTTGTTATAGCAATATAGTCAGATTTTATCCTTTTTATTTTTGTATTAATTAGAATTACTAATTCCCTTTTATTATTATTATTATTAATTTTTTTTATTCTCTAGAATGATTTTTTTAGATTTAAATCAGTCAGATTCATCAAAATGATATAGACAGGTTTATCCTTTTTTGCATTAATTGGAATTATTAATTTTCTTTTTATTTATTATTATTTTTATTATTTATTATTTCACTCATTTTTTGATTATTAATTATCTTATTTTTCAATTTTGTAGATTATGACCAATTTTTCCTATTCAGATAAGAGTAAATTTATTTCTCATCCTGGGTGAAATAAATTATTTTTCACCCCTTATAATTTTTTTTGTATGCATTTTTTTATTAATAACAATTATTATAAAAAAATAGCATTTATCAATATTTATTATTTAAATTCTGTATCAAATAAATGTAATAATTAAAGCCAAAATATCGCAAATATGCTATTACTATAAGATTAACACGATCTCATGCTATTATTAAGTGAAACTAATAAAATAACACTTTGATCTTGTACTATAAACACGTGATTAAGTATCATAACTTAATCCTTAGAACAAGTGCTACGATAATGATTATATTTTCTACATGAGCCACACTTACGACATCTATCAGATATTGCTTATTTGCCTCTACCTTTGCCTTTTGAATCTGATTTTTCAACAGATGGTTTCAACCATTTTGTTAGTGGTCTTCCTTTAGGCTGATGCTTAAATGGATCCAAGATCTGATTAGAATCGATTAATACTCTTTTTGTATTACAAAAGACCTGATTGTCATTTATTTTTCTATCCGCTAAAGCTTTTTGTTGCCTAATCAATTCTACTTGAATTAGTTGAGCTTCTTTTCTTTTATTAAAATCCTTGATAAACTGAATCAGTTCTTCATTATCATCTTGAATTGCAAATTGAATTACCTTTTTAGCTTCACCCATTAGAGTATTAAATTTTAATTGATTTTGTGATATTTGCTTGGAATACCTTTCTGAAAGATCATTTATAGTGTATTTTTGAGCAAATTCTAAAGTGATTTATGCACTATTTTGATTATTTTGACTATTATTTGTAATTGTTTTACTAGAACAGGTATCGCTTGAATTGATATATTCATCCTTATACCAATGCTTAGGAATCAATGTCAAATAAAAACATGCATTAGAAGATTCAACAAACACTTTAAAGAAATGTCTGCATATAATATCATGAATGACAAGCATAAAATAAGTGCATAAGTATTCTCTGGTATTAAGTAAAATTATATGTTGATAGCATTTTGGATAATTGTATCGAAAAATCTTCTAAACTTCTAAAATATCGTTAAAACTAATCATCGAAATTAAAGACTTTAAGTCAAGCTTCTGATCCTCATCAGCTTCAATAAGAGATTCGGCAGAATCTTCTACTTTATCAAAGAAAGGTTCAAATGAACTATCATCTAATACTGGAATTTCAGAAAATTGTACTTGATGTACACAATAGCATACAGATTAACACATTTGTTTATAATATGCATCATGAATTAGCTGTGTGAGATATTTATTTATGATACTATCAATACTACTAATGAATGTTTGTATGATGAAAGGTTGTGTGTACTGTAATATTAAAGCTTTCCAGATTGAATAACAATTGTTAATTGACTCAAATTTTAACTGATTTTAAGAGATTCTTGAACTTATAAGAGAGAAAAACTTGACTGCATAGCCTTATTTATTAATGCATTTTCTGATTTCACATACTGTGTAGATTGCGTTCTTACTATAAAATATTATGATGTATCGATTCAATAGCATTGTGGTTATATATTTGCTTTTCGTCTCATATTTTTCAACTATCCTTTTGATTCATTTTTCAAATACATTTTCGCAATAAGAGCATTGAATTCCTTTAAAATCTTTAAGGAATTCCTGATAAAGTGATGATCCTAAACATGAATAAAGGTTTTTTGGAAGATTTTGATAGAGATGGTATAAATATTGCATATGATGAGTCTCTGAAAATACTATAGAAATAGCTGCAATCATTATGGGGTCAATATCAGTAACAAATATTAATGGAGGAATTTCATATGCTTTAAGACAATATCAAAGCAACTATTTGTATAATTCTTGTCTTTCATTTTACATAAATGCTTGAGTTGCTAACCTACTCTTATTATAGTTATCGATTAATATAAAGAGACTTAACGAATAGTTATATTTATTCATTCTTGCAGTGTTGTCGTGAATAATGATATCATAAAATTTTATTCACCTTTCACACTGCTCTGGTAAAATCCAGAAAATACTAACTAACCATTACTTATGTTATCTATTAATGGCTTTACAAACTATGCAGAATCATTATTTTGCAATTCAAGAAGCTTCATTAATAGAGATGCTATTTCCACTAAATTCAATCTCTTTTCTCGTTTAATTCTTTGAATTGCATTTCCTAGGTTTTGAGTAAGAAATACATGATCAGGATACTTTAGTTAAAGGAGGTTTCTAATTGTTCCTGCATCACATCAGCCATGCACAATATAAAATTCTATCTGTTCCATGATTTCTTTAGAAAAATTTTTGTAAGTGGTAGAAAATTTTACAGTTTTAATAGAAATCTCATAGTTGTGTTTATTATTAAATGACATTATAATTGCTATTAGTGAATTTGATCATCTATTAACGTTTACTTGCCACATACAGCCTTGCTTTTTGCTTCCTTTACTCTTTTCTTTACCTAATATCAGTCTTGAATATTTTTCAACATACCTTTCTCTCAAATCACACTTAAATACCCTTTTTCTACAAGTACCATTTGAAAATTTTTCAATCTTGTGCTTAAAGATGGCAAAGTTATTTTGAAGAGTGTATTGTTCTATAAAATATACTGTGATTTCCATAGAGTGAAACTTAGTTTCCAACTCAATTTCAATCAGAGTATTGATTGGTGAAAAAATACTATTATAACCTTCAAATTTAGAGCCTAATACGTCTCTAAAAACATACTCTTCTTTATTATTATTATTATTAGTGGGTTCTATAAAGGGTGCAGCATTGCAAAATATGATTAGTGTAGGTACAAAAAGTAAAAAAACATGAATGTTTGATAAGCAAATAAAGACCTTCCATAAAGGCTTTGAAGGTAAGCATGTTTATAATATTAAAGTAAATGGAGTGATCATTTATTACTTGCGATGGATATTAAAGTGATACTAAAAATTTTTGAGAAAAAAAAGCTCAAAAAAAATTCAGAATACCACCAGTCAAAAAAATTGGAGAAAGAATTTTGAAGGGAGAAAAAAACTCTGAAGGAAAAAAAAAACTTTGAAGAAAAAACTTTAAGGAATACCACCAGTCAAGAAAACTTCAAAGAAATTGAAAAGAATTTTTAGAAGAAAAAAAAAACTTTGAAGAAAAAAAACTCAAAAAAAAGGAACAAATTGTTAATACTAGTAAAGAGGACTTCAAAGAAAAATGACTTTCAAACTTCTCTCTTCAAAAAAAAATATAAAGAACAAAAAATGCTAGAGGAACAACAAAAGACTTTTAAATCTCTAAAGAAAAAATCCTTCAAATTTAAATACTTTGTAGATTAGAAAAAAAAACAACTTCTCTTCTCAAACTCTAGTAGCAAAAAAATCAGAGACAAACAGTATAAAACTCTACCCTTCATTATAAAACTCTTCGTTACTGTTAGAAAAGAATCATTGTAGCTTAGAAAGCAAAAAGTTTTATACATAGCTAATTTTTTTTATTTATTATTATTAAAAATTTAACGTAACTTATCCGGATCTCTGACGTGATTCATCGATTAGTCGGTCACGTGAATATAGTATAAGAAATCACCTGGGTGAGGAATAAATTTTTTCTTCAGATAAATGTAAATATGATACTTCAGATGGATCCTTTAGCTCATTATAGTGACATAAACAGATTTAATATTTAGAATAATGTTAAAATTAAATTTTTGAGTAAAGAAGTATTCACTGTTAACAAATCTATGATAAAAGAGTATAAGAAATTAAAAGCAAAAGTATCTGAACTATTATCTTTATCTAGACACTTTCCTTTCCCTCCTCTTCTATCTTTGCTAGCCATGCTTTGACGTTCTGCCCTGCAGTGTTAGAAAATTAAAATCATGTGACTGCGTGAAAAAAAAAACACTAAGAAAAAATGAGATAGTTAACTCACGTGCTAATATATGCGGATTTTCCGATTGACAAATCTTTTAATGTAGCTCGAATAACTGGAACAATAATGTCTGCCACGTATGTTCCCTCACTCTGTGTTTTAACGAATTTAGGACTAAAGGCTGGGTTTTTCCAGATCTCCCTCCTAATAGTATTGGAACATCAATATGATATAATCTTATGAATAGAATAATATTATACTTACAATGTATTAAGTATTCTAATCGCAATATCTTTTAAAATCTCTTCTTTCTCTATCCAATTTTCATGCGAAAGTTTTTGTGGTAGTATTTCTGTAGAACTATCATCATAGTTTATCAAAAATTCATTACATGTTGTTTTGATCAAGTTAGGAAGAGACGCTTGCATATATTTCACTGGTTTCTAGTAATATCATTTCAAACATTATTTTTTGTTCTATGAATTGGGATATTTTTTTCTTACCATGAAAGATTCGTATTCTTCTTCCGGTAATTGCTTAACATCTCCATCTCACTACTAAGAACCTGACTCGCAAGTGGATCACGTCATGAAAGATCTGAGGATTTAACCTTACCTACACTCTTCTGCAAAATTTTGGCATATCGAGATTTGCTTCTTTTAAGATTCCCTTTCAATATTCGCAAATTATTTTTGATAATCTCGTCTGATAATTCTTCTTCCTATCTATCAATCTCAAAATCCCGAAGACTGCACATTCCTTCATAAGCGTCATCAAACTAGCACAAAATAAAAAAAAAGTTAGATCTAATCGTTATGAATAATTATTCCAAATCGTATGCGCACACGTCAGATTTTATCATGCAAAATTATCAGCTATGTGTGATCAGTACATAGATGATAAATTACATGACACATGCTTTCATCTCAAACTATACGCAAAAAAATACCCTATACGTCTGTGGATTAATATATTTAATAATCAAACCAGGGCTTGTATGGCTTTGGATACAACTTCACTCCAGTTATTAGGCTATATTCTGCGCTATTCATTATATAGTGTTAAGTTTTTTTACTGAAAAAATTTAATTACTAACCTTTAAGGGTAAGCTCATAAGCTTCTGATATTTTTCTGAATTTGATGCATATGAAGGGATAACGGATGTAATTGCTTGATGAAATATTTGCCTTAAATTTTCCTTTACAATCTAAGGCTCTTCGTTCATTACCTGATAAATTACTAAAAATGCAGTTATATGTTCAGGCAATACAATACGAAGAAAATTGCAAATAAAATCGTATAATGCAGACATGTTTGTGTTGTTAATTCAGAATAATATTAGTATAATGTTAATGTAAGATTAATATGCTGAGATAACGCAGGAAGTAAAATTTGTATACTACCCTTTTAAATGTTTTGTAATTTCCTCATTCACATCTCTCTGAGCCCGAGTTCATGTTGGGGTCGAAACAGAAGAATATGCAACGACTTTTACGCCAAAATTTTGTGTTAGAGAATAATGGCATGCGGAATGTGCATTGAAGATCTCGACTTTTAGAATGGTGTTAGGGCAATGCATATACGGACTTTTTTCGCTTACCTGACCGCTTAATAGTTAATACTAGGATCTGGCAACGTTATATAAATATATTCTGCTCGGAATCGGTAATGTCAGAGAGCCTGTCCCTCTGGAGCAAAAATACATATTAGTAAATGCTATTCGGCCAAATGTTGTAAGGAAAAAATTCAAAATATTTTTAGGGATTAATTTCTTTTGTGTGAAAATTAATTTATCGCACAAACAGTCACACAGAATTACAGATGATTTGTGGTGTATCACCTATTAAATCATATATACTTTAATGAGGATCAAAAACGTGCTAATTTATGTCGCACACACCAACATGCATTGTGACTGGACAATATATTATTTTATTAAGACAATATTCAGGATCTGGGTCAAGGACTGATCTGGAAAATTCAGCACACAAACTCACAATTATCATCTAAATCTGAGAAATTCACGGTAACATTCTTTCTGTTAATATAGTATAGGAATTCTAATAGCAGGAATCGGCATATTTTTTGTATTTCTATCGATTTACTCTATATTTTTCGCAATCTGAAATTCTGATGATGTTTTCAAAGTTATATTTTTTATTAATATGATAATATTTGGGATTCTGTAACCATTTTAACATGTCAGACCAGCCTGTACTTCTAACAACTATATAGCCTTGCTGATATAATACTCTAAAAGTAGCTATGTATGCTACAGTACATAATCATCTATATAACTGATTTTTCTTTGCTTCTACCCAAGTATTAGCAAAATAAATGTTATGCTTATTTTCTACATAAAATCGGTCACTCACATAATTAGATTCTATTAGTTTTTCATTAATGAAATGATATGTTTTACCATGAGAAACAATATCTAAAAACTTCATATCGTCAGAAGTACCATCATTCCTCACCGCCTCCCAAACCTGTTTTACCAAAGACTCAGATCTTTTTTTATAATTCTTGTAAGCTTGCTGGATAATTACTGCATAGAAATTCTTAAACTGATAGTTGTATTGTCTCGTAATCAAGAATCCCTAAGATCGCTTCATTGATCTTCTTGAACTTCTCAAAAAATACTTTATTAAAATAGTTATAGATTCGAGGATCTAACCTAGAATAGATAGATTATGCATAGCGTCTGCAGGTCACAATTTCACTAGGCGATCATACATACAGAGCGTTACATGTGTAAAGTAAAAAATAAATTGATTGATTTATACATGAATATGAAATATACTATTTTAATAAAGAATCTATGCTTCAGAAAATTTGACGCACATATTCACAATTATTATTCAGATCTGAGAAATCTATATTAGCAAACTTTCTCTCAGTAATATAATATCCAGATTTAAAATAGTCAATTTTTAGCGAATCACATAGATATAGTTTACCTGCCAATTTGCATTCATATCGCGCATATTCTGAACTTTTAACATAGTTTACATTCTCATTGTTAAGGTGTTTATAATATTCAGGATTTGCTAGCCATTTTGATATATAAGGCCAAATATCATATGTAACGAGTCTAGCCTTTTAGGTGTAATTTTATAAAGCAACTATATATGCTACATTATTTAATCGTCCCCGTAACTGGTCTCTCTTTTTTTCTACCCAAAACCTAGGACGATAATAATCATATTCCTTGTACCCTGTGACCTGTTTGGCTAGATATTCTTTAATATATTTTTGAGCAATATTTTCGTTATATGCTTTTTTAATGCAGTTAGCATAATCATCAGTATGCAAATCATATTCTTCTTGAATCAAAGGATTTATTTTCCATTCACTAGTTGAAAGTATACCTAAATATTTCATCCTATCAGGAGTACCATCATTTCTCACTATATTTCAAACTCGTTTTGCCCAAGTTTCAGGTCTCAACTTGAAAGCTCTCCAAGCCCGTTGGATTATTTTTGCACTATTAAATATATGATATGCAGTTTTTTTCTACAATTCATAGTCTGCATCACATCTAACACTAAAACCCTGACTAGGAAAATCAGTAAATTTATCACAAATCTCATAAATTTCATCTTTACTTAGTTCTGATGCTATTCTTTCTCCTTTTTTACATTCTTTCCACTAGTCGAAATAGTCCAAATCGGCTAAAAATCGGATGGCCGATTTTAGGCCGATTTTGATACTATTTATGGCTGATTTGCCAT